GTATCTAGTCGAGCTTAAAACATTATGTTTTATTGATTAATCAGCAGAAGCATCTGCAACTATTTTGATAATTGATTATTGATCTGTTTTTAAGCAAAAATACGTGTTCCAACTTCTCAAATGTAATAATTTGCAGTTTTTCTTTATCTTATGTGATTTTAAATTGAACTTTTGGGGGATTTTTCAAAACAAAACAAGCAACTTGATGACCACGATCACCTTGGGCTTTAGGAAACCTCAGCATTGTCAGACCTGATCTATTGATCATTTAATAGATGATTAGATAAATGATTAATTGGGAAAACTCATCATGCTACGGCACTTGCTACTGGTATTTAATGCTGTAACCTTTGTCAGTCCTGGGAAAGGTTGCTGAGTTAGCTCTTCTTCAGCTCTATCCCTGCTTTACATTCAAGGTGCGATGCGCCTGAAGCAGCTCAGCATAATGATTGTTTTTTTACTTCATGAATTAGCATCACTATTTCCACTGGAACAACCGAGAGTTATTATTAAGTGTCTACAGAGATTTTAGCAGCTGGTGTCAGGGTTTTAACCTGCCACCATTAAGTTTCTATTCTACCTGTCTAAACTGTATGAGCTGCTATCCATCAAGAACAGATTTCTTATAACAACATTTAACAACATTTAGAATTCAAATTTCATTAAACCAATATATTTGCTCTTTTACATGTTATGTATTTTAGTTTTTAAATTCTTTTAGAACACTTATATTATACTTGCAACATAACATTAACATCAACGCAAATATAAAAAACAACTAATAATTATTTTTAAATAGCTTTTAATAGATTTTAATTAGCATCAATTAAACTCTAATAATGTCCAAATTTATGTCTTGGGCTTTTTTTTTTTTGTTCATCAAACAGTCCTGAACCAAGAGATATTTAATTAAAAAAGATTAAAAACAGAGAAAACCAACAAAACCTGACATTTGAGAAGCTGTTACCAGCATTTTTGGTTAATACATTTCTCAGACAATTCACAATTATTAAATTTATTTGTCTATTAAATGTCAGATATAAATCGACTTATTGTTTCAGCCCTAAAAACGACATCTGCCAGTGTGCACTGGAATAATTATGTCCATGCTTTAGGTTATAATATGTGAGGAATAAACGCTGTGATACAAATATTCTTCATCAGTATCAGTACGCAATCTGTTCCTACTGTTTCCTCTGAATTGAAAGTCTTAATATACAGTAAATCTGTCTCTCTCGCCTGTTGGCTCATGCTTATGTTCCTCCCTTCCCCACTTCCTCCTCTCATTATTCTGACCTTGTTTCTATTAGTTTGCCCTCCCTCTCCCACACACACACACACACACACACACACACACATCACACCCTCGGTCTTAACATTAGGCTGAATCCCAAACACAGAGGAGGTGCTAATAATAAAGCTGCCAAGATGTGTGTCTGGTTATGTGTGTGCTTAGTGTGTGCGTGTGTGTGTTGGGGTGTGACTGATTGTGATGGATGAGGGGCAGTACGGCTTCCAGCAGATGCAGGCTGTCTGTCTGTCTGTGCATCTGTTTGTCTCTCCGTTCTGTGTGTTTGTGTGCATTCAAGTGCGTTTATCCTGCAACTGTTAGTAATATTTATCCCCTGAAAGTGTGTGTATTCTTCATTTCCAAATAGATTGTCTGCTTAACTCGAGACAGTTGCAGAATTGGGTCCACACAGGCTTGAAATTAAGATGTTGAGTGGGAGACCTGATTGAAATGAAGCCACTGCATTATACAGCTTGGTATTTTCAGAATGAGTTGATTACTGTGTGCTTTAAATAATCTTTTTAATAGCATTTTTTCCCGCCGTTTCCACCGAGCATGTCACGCTTAGCAATAAAAACTTCAGAAATGCTTTAGCATTGAAGTGCTTCCAGTGATATTCTCTGAAGTGCCATGGAGGTAAATAGTTTTGTGATTTCACTGAGGAATTTTGCGTGGATCTGTCAGAGATTTACTCTGGGGCCCCGTGTGGTTTTGATTCTGGCTTTGGACCTGAATCTAGGCTGACTGATTCATTCAACTCTCTGATGTAAATCTGTCTGTTTGTGTGAGGTTTTGTATTGTGTTTGCTATATTTTCTCTCATATGGGACTGTTTCTTCTTTCATAGTCTGTGTGGTTGTCTGCGTGTGTGTGTGTGTGTGTGTGTGTGTGTGTGTGTGTGCGCGCGTCTGAGAGCGCTGAGTGACTCATTCAACATTTTCACAAAGACCCAAAGTAATGGAACAGAGCGAATTGGCTCGGCTGACGGAAATAGCTTCCAGGTTGAAGGCAGCGTGGCTGTAAAAGTTTTATTTGTTGGCTGTGTTTTTCTGTCTTGCCTTCCTTCTGTTCCTCCACACCTGTGTCTAGTCTTTATGCAACTCTTGAGTGCACTACATGGCCAAAAGTAGGTGGACACCCATACATTTCACCCGTATGTTATTGTGGGACATCTCATTCTAAAACCAAGATTTTGGAGCCTGGCTGCAAGGATTTGCCACAAGAGCATTTGTGAGGTCCCACACTGATGTTGGGTGACGAGGTATGGCTCACAGTCTGCGTTCCACTTCTTCCCAAAGGTGTTGGATGTGGTTGAGGTCAGGACTCTGTGCAGGCTGTTTTTCCACACAAAACTGGAAAAGCATTTCTTTATGGGGCAGGCTTTGTGCACAGGGAAAATGTCTAGTTAAACAGCAAAGGGACAAAAGTTGGAAGCACACTGCTGTCTACTTTATTAATCCCCAATTTTTTTCACAATCACAAATGTGACAATGTGACAATCAAACAAATGTGGAGAGGTGGTGGAGTGATGGGTTGCAGAGTAGCAGTGCCCCCAGGAGCAGTTAGGGGTTCGGTGCCTTGCTCAAAGGCACATCGGTAGTGCTGTTGGCCTTCTGTTCCCAGCTGCCAGTTCACACTCCGTACTGTGGTCAAAGCTGGACTTAAACGCCAAGGCAAGTTACTATGGACTGAGCTACTGCCATCGCTTTAGCCTAGCTTAGCATAAAGACCAGAAACGGAGGAAAACGGCCAGCTAACTAGACGCATTGTATGTACGGGAAGTTCCTTAAAAAACAACAGCTGTGCGCAGCATCACTGAGTGTTGTTTCTACCAGGATGCCAGGTTTGATACCATTCTGTGTGTACCGAGACCTACACCTTTGCTCACTGACCTAATCTGGCAACCTGTGCTACAGCCGGAGACACTGCTCAGAAGTTAAAGAAGATACATGCTGTTAAATGAAGAAATGTAGAGGTGTTGGACAGAGCTTCCTCTTAAAATGTCCTTAAAAGCTGCACAGGGATGTCCACATGCTTTTTTATTGTTTATTCATTGTGTATCTGTCTATACTTGTCTTCTGTGTCTGTATTTAGACATCAGTCTTGTTATCCGTAGCTTTAATCTTGCTGCTCCCTTTACTCTTGGCCAATTCTATGCTAATTACCTCCCTCTCTTTGGGAGTGTTATGAGAGAGCGGGATACCTCTCTCCACTGCTGTCTTCCTATAATCTCTGATGTCAGCGTAATACTTGTACTGACAGGACACTGCTGTGCATTCCCATTCATGCTTCTTCCCTGCTCTCCTGCTCACTGGCCTACATACAGGCATCGGTATCACACACTCTTTCCTACTTTCCTCTTTTTTTGTTTGCCTACTGCCGTCACGCTACTTTAACCTCTCTTCCTCAGTCCTTATTTCATGTCTCCGATGCCCCCATTCTAACATTTTATTTATCATGTCTTGCACATTTCTTTCTGTCCGTCTCTCTCGCTCTCCTCCCTGTCCTCTTTTCTGTAAGACTTTATCCTCCCTGACAGTGTTGGTGTTTTCCACATCACTGCATCTGCTATTGCAGTAGCTCTAGCAGTTTTGCCAATCATTCTAAGCGTTCCTGTGTAGAGTAATAACAAAAGGACTGCTTAAGAATCCAGACAGGTTTGTTTGAAATCCAATTGAGCATACATTTTCAAGATGGACAATTTACCCAAACAGTCCCGATGTGGGAAAACCACACAACTACAACTTCAGAGAGGTTAAAACAAACTTCCAAATCATATTGAAGCCAGATTTATAGCCAACATTTATTAGGGGACCTCTGTAACTGGGTAGCTGTGGTATTTGCCACATGAGATTGGAATCCGCTGCCTGCTGTTTATTTGACTATATCCTTAAACATTTTTTATGCATGCCTGACCTGAGACTTAAACTCAAGGCAAGGTTTGGTTTTGTGTAGCAGCAAATAACAACGTCCCCCTCCCATTGTAAGCGTTGTAGGAGAAACTACAGTAGTCATCACACTTGTGAAAAACATGCCATTCCCATTATTGGGAAACAAGGCCATGACATGAGACTTAACTGCTTTGAGACTAAGGGTAAAAAGCAGCCAATGAATATTTATTATTAGCTCTATGGGTCGGAGGCACTTGGTTTCAACTATGGAAACAACACTATTAACATAACTTTGAAAGACAAATGTTCAAATGCCGCGATGATGACTCTTTGCATAATTTATCGTGGTTACAATGAAGAGAAATCTCACAGGTTTGAGAGCAGCACAACAAGTTCTTGCTGTTTACTAGAAGATCCCTCTATGTTAAGTCAAAGGCATTGGTTACTTTCATGGTTGGACATTATTTATTCAGAACAAAGAGCAGCCAGAAAACACGAGGCAAAGGCAGATATTTTTATATGTTTAGTCTGAAGAGGTGAAAAAAGTAAAGTTTTAAGTTATGTAATACATAATAGACTGAGTGGGCGATACCAGAAGGGCTTGCACTTGACTTCCAATTTCCTCATTAGGACTTGAGACTTAATAGTGTAATAATAATGGGATTTAGAATTTGAATACTTAAAGTGATAGCAAACTAAACGTTGGAGGTAATACTTACATTATAACGCTAGCATAACAACATAATATATGGATAAATGTCGAAGGAAAGTTGAATGAAAGCCTTTTTTGCTCACTCTCTGCTCTCTGTCTCTCTGCAGCTCTCACCGACTGACAAGAGTTTGGAGTTTGACAGAGACTTTCGCATCAGGCACTATGCAGGAGATGTGGTGTAAGTATCTTAAAGTTTTATTTATTCAGGAAAGGCTTTTACCAGTGATTCATGCTCTTTTCCCACATTTGTACATTTTTACATATTCATGCCCCAGAGCTGCCTACTGAAACCACAGTCTTGTACTTTTGGCCACTTCAAGAGCAGATGGGAGTTCCTAAATGAAACTTGATGGTGGTTTTGGGGACGTGGGAGCACCGCTCATTCAAACTTCATGACTAGATTATGACCAAATATTCTCTTTCATAACCCTGGTTTCTTTGTCTGCTTGGCCGTCTGTGTTTGAATATTCGACACCCTGGATTTTAGGCAGTATCTGTATCAGAACAACTATAAATTTACCTTTAAATAGTTTTTTTTAATTTGTATCTATGAAGTCTGAATTATATTATTTGTGTTCATGTATTGATGTCAACGTTTTGGTTTTTTTTTATCAGAGAGTCAAAACTTTACTGAAATTTCAGCAACACAGCTGGAACTCATACATGTGGATGGAAAAGTAGCCAAAACATTATGACCATGCTTGTGTGAATAAAATAAAATGACACACCACTCTCAGCAGTCAAACCTGAAACATTTCGGTGAACTGGACTGCAACTTTTAATTGTCGGCATTTTTAAAGTAAAGTAAAAAAAAATGTCTTGCAGTGCCTGAATACAATTCAAAATGAAAGCCTAAAATAACAAAAAGAATGACGTAAAAAAAAAAACCTCTTCGTAATGTCAGCCAACTATTAGCAGCAACTTGACATTCAAAACTGAGACACTTATAAAAACACACACACATACTTGCATGTACACTAGAAAGTACATCTTCATTGCATGATGTCCCCCCAAAATGACAGCACCGCTTCTCAATCCCCAAAGTACTTGGACATCATTCAAATGAATAAATCACACACGCTAAGCCCCCAAAAAGTGCTCTTAGGGAGACGTGTGAGCCCATTTGTGAGGGCTAAGTGTCTGCCACCCAGGGGACGACTCAGGCAGGGAGCAGGGCCTGACTGGCAGACTTGATTGATCCCTGGGCCACTTAGACCAGGCACTTACACCATCTCACAGCATGATGTAGAACAGATCAGTTATTTATAGCAGGTTCCTCACTAACAGCACGCATTAACATGAGGCTATATTAAGATTACCTGAAACACCAATTAATGCAGTAAGTTGTTTGTTTCAGGATGATTCAGAGTCAGATTTAGGTCACAGTAATCATTTAGTTATGATGTTACAGGACGGTTTGTGCAAGAAAAAGAAAAGTGTGTGTGTGGGCGTGCGCACACATGCATTTACCTGCCTCTCTCTCTTCGTAGGTACTCAGTGGTGGGTTTTATTGATAAGAACAAAGACACACTGTTCCAGGATTTCAAGAGACTGCTGTACAACAGGTGACACACACACACACACACACACATACACACAGAGTAATACACACCACTTCAATCACCTCCACACACTCTTTGCTGTATTCCTTGCAGCATTTTGATTACATGACACCCCTCTAGAAAAAAACAGCACAGGACAAGTACAACTAATCTCCTCTCAGCCCGCTCTTATCCTCCTCCTCCCCTCCAATCCTCTGGTGTTTTTCCTCTGCGGAATATAAATGTGAGGTCTAATAATTCCTGACCTGTCTAATATGTATTTTATTATACTCTTTACACAAGTCAAAAGCAGGATTTTTGGATAACAGTCAAAAATGTTTTAATATGGAGGCTTATGACGAATGAAAACCTTTTTCTTGTTTGAAGTTGCACCTACATTAAAATGCAAATTGAAATCTAATAATGAAATAAATGATCTAGCTCTTGCTTGTTATATTGTTTGGACTTGCAACAAGCCTCTTATGAATGTTGGATGGCCAAACTGAATTGAGCTGTGATTGTTGAGCTGTTTTTACTCACATACTCATGGATGTGTTGTAATATCTTCCCTTTTATGTTTGTCTGTTCAGTTCTAACCCAGTACTGAAGGGGATGTGGCCTGAGGGCAAACTGAGCATCACGGAGGTCACCAAAAGACCACTGACAGCTGCAACACTCTTCAAAAACTCCATGATCTCATTGGTGGAGAACCTGGCCTGCAAGGTGAGCAGTCAGGACTGATGATGAACGAAGCAGCATTACATCCAGGGCTGTAGTGGTGGCTAAACACGGTTTACTCACTGCCCAAATTCTGAAACTGCACAGCCCACTCTGAGAGTTTATGCACACTTCACATCACTTCACACGTTTTTGTGCCCTCAAACCAGGCTCCATGTACGTTTCTTGTGCAAATTCGAGGCTTGTTTTGTTTTCTGCTCTATTGTATCCTGTTAACACAGAGTGATCAATCAATCAAAGTCCTGCATAGCAGCAGACTGTAAACAAGTTCAGAATAGGGACATACGACATCTGACCACATGCTAAATAAAATAATCTAGTCTTCATAAGTCATAAATCACAATTTGTTGCACAATTTGCACTGTCAAACTTTTCAAATGGATCCAGCCCAGGGACACTGAAATGAGTCAACTGAAAGCAACATATGACTTAACCAGTAGGCCTGCAACTAATGATTGCTTTCTTGATTCATCAATTAATTTCTCAGAACCCAAAGTGACATGTTCAGGTTGCTTAATTTGTCAGCCCAAAATAATCAGTATGTGGTCGGAAGAAAAGCAGTTGAGAAGCTGGAACCTGTTCAACAACATGTTTTGGAGCTAAAAGGTTTTTTAAATAATTAGGTTGATTATCAAAATAGTTTCTTATTTTTGTCTGTAGTTTTTGTCTATTTATTGCCTGATCATTCCAGCAATATTCTACAGTTTTAACAAGTTTGCTCCATTTTTCTTCAACAAAAACTTATACCATTAGAATAACTGGAAAGATACCTTAAATCACATAAACATTTGACACATCGTCACATCGGATTTATTCATTTATGACCTCCTTACAGGTCTACAGTGAGTTCAGGGCTTTTGTTTATGAGTTAAATAGATAATATTCTCCCCCATGTTACCGACCAGTAACTCTGTATACAAGATGTGCTCCCTCAGGTGTCACTGTGAATTATAATAACATATTATTGGTCCATCTTACAAGTTGAATACAGATGTTCAGCAGTTGTTAACACATTGTTACCTTCTGTAGGAACCCTACTACGTTCGCTGCATCAAGCCCAACGATGTCAAGTCCCCCCTACTCTTCGAGCAGGAGCGCTGTCGCCATCAGGTGGAGTACCTCGGGCTGCTGGAGAACGTCAGAGTGCGACGTGCCGGCTTCGCCTACAGACAGACATACCCTCGCTTCCTACAGAGGTACACACAACCTAATAATCATTCTAAACACCTTGTCTTCAACCTTGTTTCAGCAAGTTATATGTTGAATTTCCCCTTACATGTTTTTATTTATTTAACTAATCACACCAGTTAAATACTCTGTCAGTACTGTCATACACAATAGAGAAAAGCAGCAAATAATTTTATTTCAGAAGTTTTAATCAGAGAATGTCTGGCATTTTTCTTGAAAATTCACATAAGCCATTCATCATTGTGGCTCCACAGTACATTGAAAATTACAATTCAAGCATATATTGTTAGGCACAAAGGACAAGGATCCACGGGGCAAACAGACATGGTCACAGATAACTGGAGTGCACACATCCATGTGACTGATTACAAAAACTACCAACAGTACATCAAAATATAGTTGAACAGTGTAAACATAGGAAATCATTGAAAACTATAATACAATAATAACAAATATATAGAAAATCTGTCAAAGGTGAAATGTGTAAAACAAAAAAATACAAAACAAGAAAACACATAAATAGGGACAGAATCAGATCTTAATAGGGCCAAATTTTTCTGTCTACATAATTGCACAAATAGCTCAAATGAAAGTTCTTCAGTAAGTCATGTTGTTAGTGGTCAATCCTGCAGCAGATTCATTTGGTTTAGTGGATTAAGTCTGTAATCCACTGAAAAATGCCCAAATTATAGGCATCTTTAATAATTTTTATTAGGGTTATGATTTGAAGGTTTGCTCGTGAGGCCAGCTGAGTAGAAATGATTAACACCTCCTCCCTCACCTCACATGCTCCACATTTACATAAGTGTTCTGGACAAACATGCTGAACGCCCGAAGCTCCACATTGGGCAGCCATGAAAGATGTTACATGACAACTCCTGTGACTGTGGGGTGTGAATATGTGTTGTGTAAACCTAATCAGCTCGCAGCTAATCTAATCTTGTAGCCAATCAGTTGCATCTCCAGCAGCCATTACTAAAAAAAAACCCTTAATCATCATCAGCTTGTGATTTTTAACAGTACCACTAATTTTGTCAGTTTCCTACAAGCATAATATTTGTGTCCTTCCGACCTTGTTCAAAAGACAACTGGATTATAATTAGTAGAGAGAAACATTGTGGTAAAACATTTCAGTTTGCTGAGAAAAATACCCTGTTTTAATTTGGTAAAGTAGTAAACAACTACGAGTCAATGAACTGCATTAATAACTCATGTTTTATTCATAACCTGTAGAAGCTCAAACACCTGACATTACAAGTCTGTTTACATCCCAATTAGCATGAAGTTGCTTGCAAACAGAGTACTGATAATGGATTTCTGAGGCTGATAGAAATATCAGTATTTATTTATTTTTATTTTATAAAAATCTGATATTTCTGGCTAATATGAATAATCTTTTAAATAAACTTCCTTAAATTTTACTACAATATGTACAGGACTTGTTATGACATTTTATGTAAATAAAAATAGAAGTTAATTCATTTCAGTGAAGTTTACACATTAGTTTATACTGCAGTTGAGATTAGAAGATTTAACTCAAAGTTATGAAAGTTCAAGGCAAGTTTAGTTTATTAGTTTAATAGTTTATTTCATAAACTAACAGAGTACATTGACAGTGCAGCATTGCTACTTTTACTTGAATAAGGAATCTAAAATACTTCTTCCACCGCTGATCTTCTGGGAGTTGGTTTCAGCACTGTGGTGTGTAGTAAGGAAATGCTGCTTGTGATGTGTTTTCTGCTTGTCTGGTTTGTACTCTATACTATTAACTACTGAGAGAATTACACCAGTATATTCATATAGACTGCATATACAAAAAACTATAATATTACTTATTGACTAACACACAGAAACAAATATATCTGTGAAACACTAAAATAGGCTGATAGTATCTCTAGAGTTGAACCAGTTTGTCGATAATTGATTGAAAAATACACTGGAAACAATTTTGGGAATGGATAATTCTTGTCATTGTTTAATTAAGCAGAACTCGCAAATATTCTCTGGTTATACCTCGTGTTAAAGACGCTGTTGATCTGTGTTTTATATCATTTTTAAATTGAATGTCTCTGGGTTTTGGACTTGGTTGCACAAAAGAAGATGTTAGAAGATATATTACACCATTTTGTGATATTTCATACAGTAGACTAAACAATTAATCACAAGCAACCCTAAATGTCTATAATCTTGAGCTTTCATAAGAATGTTCAGTCTTGGCTCGTAACAAAAAGAGACTATAGATCTGGGTTAGACTTCAGAGACGAGCAATGGTTTCACTCACATGTTGCACTTGCACTCATGCTACAGCAGGTCAGTTGAGAGCTTAACCCTGACAGGCTGGTCTTGTCTTGTTTTTTAATGATACTTTTGGCTACAAGCTGGCGTCACTAAGTCACCATAACGCAACACATTATGCTAACCAACACTCCTAATAGTACACACACACTTGTTGTAGCCTTGCCCTCGTTCCCCAGCTGTCACATTTGCCCACTGCCCTCGTAGAACCCGTCGTGGAGGACGGAGGATTAGGTAATGAGTCTTTTGCATAACATGCTAACGAGTCATCCAACTCTGTCACTCCAATCCCCCTCGCTGATGTATTTGGACTTGGTATTACATCACAGCCTTGCCTGCCAGTGGGTCGGCGCTGAAGTGACACAGGGACGCAGTCTGTTGGATCTTGGAAGACAGAGAGTATCACTGCTGTCTTGGAATAGCCTCATAATCTTGATTTTATTCATCAGTTTTTACATGAACTTTGGGTTATTCTGTGCTTTTCGATGTGCAAAAAGGTTGAAAAAAACATTGAGAAAATGTAGAAAATGTTGTAAATTCATGGTGATTTCACGATCACCTTTTTTGAAAAAACATGATTGATATTCACTTGCTGTGGTAGCCTGTCGCTGTCCTTTTTAAAGCTGTCCTTCTTCCTCCTCAGGAGTGATTTTCCGTGTCAGAACAACCCACACAAATTCAAAGAGCCTTGCTTTTGTTGGAACTAACACAGGAAGGAATTTTATTGACTGACAGCAGCACAAGCTCTTTCTCAGCTCTGCTGACCATCCTTCAAGCCGTACATAAAGTTTCTTTAGAATACAAAAAAAATAATACAAGGCCTTTTTAATGCTTGCTGTGGAATATTTCAGTGGATTTATAGCACCGAAAAGACCTTTTACCCCCTGCGTCGGGCAGCAGGTGCACTGTATGATAATTAATCCCCCTTTTCATGTACTAAATGATATGATTTCCATCGCACCCTGCCAGGAGCAAAGCCCCATGCTTGCTGAGTAATTAAGATCTATACGGCACTATACAGTATTTCCAGATATAACATGATCTGAGGATATGGAGTGATACTTTGAAGTAACTACATAAAAGGTATTAAGAGTATCACTATATTGATGTATGATTTCAGTGAATACATTCTTGAACCGATTAATTTAATACATGAAGTCTTTTTTTGGCTGCACATTAATGCAGTTCCTAATACTTTCTCCCTCCTCCAGATACAAGATGATCTCAGAGTTTACGTGGCCAAACCATGACTTGCCATCAGACAAGGATGCAGTGAAGAGGCTCCTGCAGGGGTGTGGATTTGACCATGACGTGGCCTACGGCAAAACCAAGGTCTTCATCCGCACACCACGCACCCTCTTCAGCCTGGAGGAGCAGCGAGTCGAGATGGTCCAGAGAATTGTGCTCTTCCTCCAGAAGGTGAGACTACCTCATGGCATCTTATGAAACTGTAAATTACTGCTGCATTATTGCTCTGTCACCATTGAAAATTCATAATTTGTGAAATTCGTACTGCCAAACGTGAGAGAGAAAGCTATTGAGAAGCCCCCTACAGTCACTGATTCCTTACGTTTCTTCATTTTATTAATCATTTTTTTAATCTCTCCCTGATTTTGCCTTGAATTTAAACCAGTGAACCGAATGAGCACTATCCTTTTCCGTATTTGTTGATAATGAAAGAGCTCCTATTTTCCAACATCTGTCATTGTGAATACCTCTGATTGCCAGCTATCAACAACTATTATCTGATGAGAGCCTTCAAACAAGACCATGAGGCCCGTGTCATGTTCTCATTGAAATTCACCAGCCCTTGTTCTGCATATGAATAACCTTGGAGACTGGAAAAACTCAAGCCAAATTTTTATACAAGCACAGTGGTATTATTGGAGCTAATTTAATCTTGTATTATTAGTCTCTTATATCTCTCAGGGTGAATGTCTCCTCTCTCTTTCTCTGTCTGAGTTTTCACCCACACAGCTCTTGTAAAGTTGTTAGATGTGATGAGTAGATCTCAGATTTTTCATTGGAAATGTTTCAGGGAGTTTTGGGCAGTAATGATTATAAAACACGCTGCAGATTTGCCCTTATATTATCATTAGGCCAAATCTGTTTGTTGGTTTTGGTTTGCTGGTCATGAATTAACCTCTCTGACTTGTCAATGGACTGTAAATATGATGGGAATAGATCACTGGTTCATGTTTTCATACATTAGAAGTATCTGGTGGTGTGGATAAAGAGGAGGATGTACAGCATGTTTGTGTTGATGCTGTATTATTTTAGCATAATTGAGGTCGAAATATCATGAAATCAATACTTATGTTTGGCTGAAAGTTGACTTACAATACGTGCTTTCAACCTTTGTAGAAAACAAGCTAAATGTTACCAAAAACTTTAAGTGTAAAGTATTTATATACCATTTCATGCAGCTCTTCTCTCCGGGGCTTGAATTCATTAATTGGAAGATTGGAATGAAATTTCTTGTTAAGACCTCTATTAGCAAAATCTTCTTTTTCGCATTATATGAATATAATATTGAAGTAAAAATAGTGGTTAAGACACATACCATATAACCACAGTCCCCAGTTCGATCCCAGTTAGGTACCTTTGTTGCATTTAATACCTCTCCTCTCTCTCTCTCCTTTCACCTTTTCTCTCTGTATCTCTACTGTATCTCTTAAATAAAGGCAAAATGCCAAAAATAGATTTTAACGGCAAATGTCTCAGTAAGGTGTTCCCCCGCGAGCCTCCAGACCGGCTTCAGCTCTCCTTCTCAGACTGCAGGCCAAAGTGACCTAAATCTGATTTCTTTGCACTTACTGTATGTGACTCTGCATTTTTCATGACAGGGTGAACAGCACAAATCACATGGAATCTGATCTTTTTAAATTCTGATTCGGCTCACTTTCATATGAGGTCCAAATAAGATGCAGGTGAGGTATGATTTCTTGCAGTGTGACCTCAGTGTGAACAGTCATACCAGAATCAATGTTACTTTTATGTCACCGACTTTCGTCATGTGGGTCACTTCAGGGCCGTGACACTGGAATCTGATACGGGCCACATTTAAAAGGTAATGTGAACAGCCATAAATAAAGCCAGAGATTCCTCATGTTGGAGGGATGAACAGCATTCTTCCAAAAGATTTTCCCTCATTTGGAAATTTTCATGATGGTGATGGAGAGCACCAACACTTCATTCCAAAGTGTCCCGTTGGTGTCCAACTGGGTTGAAACCTGGTGACATGTATGGAAGTATCTGCATTTATTAGGTTGCTCACTCATGTATTCGGGTGTTTGCATTAATTTGCTCAATATCATACAAAGAGTAATAGTATTTTAGACGCATTTAATCATCGGAGTAAATCCTGTGTTTGTTAGGGTGTGGCCACAGGCTGTTCCTATATGAATCATTTGATCATATTGGCAGTTTTGTTTGATACTGATAATTACTCTGTGACCAGTACATCAGTACTTTTCCTTCCACTGGACTTGTTTTAGAAGATCTGCTCTGAATATTGATCACTGTCGTGTCTCAGTAGTTGGTAAGCCCGTCATGCGTCGGTGATTTGATGACACCTTCAGGCAAGAGTGCCAGTATGTTTGCTGTGATTATGCACTGACATGTGTCAGATCAGCGTGCAGAACTAAACTTTGTCCCTTTGATAGATGGAGAGATTGGTTTATAAACGTGAAGCGCTGCTCTGTCTGGCTGTCAAATCAAGCATGCACGATGCAAATCTGCAAATCAAAATGCCATCTCTGACAGGCAGGTAGTTCAAGAACACTGTGTTGGTGTATGAGAGTAGAAACACGCTCTGCATACATCATCTGGGCACTTGAAGCACAGTATCCTCCACTTGGGAGCCATGTGATTGACAGTCATCCATTTTCCCTAACCTGTCATTACGTTAGCATCATGTGAGCAGATTCCTCCACACCATGTTGCTTTCATGTCTACCTTTCTCGAGGAGTATCTCCAAGCTCTCAGACATGAAAGGGTCGTCCAGCCAAATTAACTTCTGTAGTGCATTGATTGGTCGACCTTTGTATCGATCTGTATGACCCTTTCCCACAGACATACCAGACGGGTGTTCCCTTCCACCTCTCCCTCAGGAGAATCTTATCTTGTATCTCCCAGGATAAGCAGGCTTTGATAATGAAGGGAAAGCCCAGAGGAATCACAGCTTTTCCACCAAAACAAACATCACAGCACCGCAGAGGTGTCGGAGCAGGCGTATTTAATCTTGCTCTCTGTCAATGTTAAGGCCACGCATGCAGAATGTGCTTCTCACAGGCAGGCTCACTCATGCTATATGCACTCAGTGACACACAAAATCAAATAGTGGTGTGACAGCAGCATTGACTCCTGTATCTAGTGTCATGCTGTTACTCAAACAAACATCCCAGCCTGAGTCTGATCTGCTGTGCCAAGCAATCCCCTTATCAGCACCTGGCACACCACACTGCCTTATGCCAGTAAGGACCACAGTGCCAGGACTGTCAGCCTATGACTGAGGCTCAGACACACTTCTTGTCCCTCCGTTTGCCTCATGGATTTATTATAAAACCACTTAGCTTGCCCCATCATCAAACAGCTAAAAATCTGTGGATGTGCACACTTCCTGAAGTCAGGTTGAGTGGCCCCCTTGTAGTGCCACTGCCTGTCCAGATTTGGAGAATATTGTGTTTTTCTGAAGCTGCACTCTCATTTTAGCCCTTTAAAATAACCATAACCTCTCCTCCTTTGGGGAGGGGGAGTAGCTGGAGGAAAGGGTTGGGGGCAGGAGGAGGGGAGGAGGCTCCTTCACAGCTCAGTTTAATCCTGCTGGTCTCTCCAGCCCTCCGTCCTTTCTTCATGTGCTCTTACTCACCTCATCTTTCCCCTATTGTGGTGCTTCACCCAGTCAATCCGCCCAACCTGAAATGTATTGCAATCAGGCCTGGGTGCATTACCAGTGATTGCTCTGCATCCTCCTGTGTGCGATCCTCCATCGACAACACTGAAATCTCTACCTTGTACAGAGCAATCTAATCATTACCACTTTGGGGAATGGCAACCAGAACAATAGCTAAAAAAAGGCACACAATCCAACACAAATACAGATGTTATAAATTATACATAGGCCACCCCCACCTTCCCTGTGTGTTAAAATGAATATTTCATAAATTCAGGCTCAGCCATCCACATCACATTAACTGTCTGCGCTTGTCAGCGGAGCAACGATGACGAGAAGAGACTCCCCCCTCGTGTATTCTGAACCACCGCCTTAATTGCTTTCCAAAGCTTTACATAGTCTCTGTGTAGCAGTAGGTTTATCAGACTTGGCGAGTGTTATGTCTTGGGTAGTCAGCCCAGCCATGGGGAGGGGGTTTATCTGAGCAGGAGCTAAATGAAAACGTCTAAAAAGGATAAGAAGTCCTGTTTTTATTAATTTGTATTGTTTATTGGTGGATGACTCACGTCTTGAGGCAATAAATTGTAAAGCAATAAATAAATAAAATCTTACTGGAGGAAAGGGTTGGAGAATCTTACTGATGTGAAAAGGGAGTAATCTGTGGATAGCTCTGTGCAGCCCTCTTGAGAATAACAGGCTACTTAGTGCAAGGCTAGCACTGCCTCTTCTCTGCTTAACTGTCCAGAACTGATCTGTCTCCTGCTAGACCTCAGCAGAAACATGATCTCTAATCCTCTGATCCCCTCTGAACCTGCAAAGTGTTTTAGATATCATCCAAGGCTATCACCTCCACAAAAACCTCAATGGTTGAGAACACAGCGGATCAAAGGAGGGTGGTTTAACTTTTTTGTTACAATCATACAGTTGGATTTTGAAGAGAGGAAATGTCCTTCTTCTGTCCTCAGGAAAGTAGTGATTTGGAAAGTCGATACATTTTCTTCTATCTTTTACTTAATCCCAATTATCCTTTGTTATATTGTGTTACCATTCATTCTGTGACCTAAGTGCTATTTTCTTATAATACAAGACACGTGACTGTTCTTGTGAACGAAGCTTAATTTGTTTGTATTAAGTGCGGATTATACTGATCGTTCAGCTGTCCTTGTAATGTTATCAGTTTTCAAAGAAAAGCCTAATTTCAGAACATTTGTATGAAGGCTACAGAATCGACTGAATTTGTGCTTTCTTTCAATGCGGTAAGCCTAAAAATATCCCACGGTTCATGACACCTTTTGGCAAGTATAAAAACTGTAACCACGGGCCTCTCTCCATGGCAACTGACATGAGGTTCGCTGCCAAAGTTTACTGATTTCTTTTTTAGATTTTAGCCTCCAAATCCTCCCAAAACCCTTTTTATTTTCAGTTTTCATTCTGAGTAACAGTTACAACAGAAACAGGCGCCCTTGTGCTCTAAGGTTTTAGGATGCTGACCCCCATCTCCATAGTCCTTGTCACTCACTGTTTC